TTGCTTTCCGCTTGGATCGTAAGATAATTTGATCACAAAATCAATAAAAAAGGTGATCTGCAAAAATATTGGGCCGTTTGGGATATAACCTCGTTATTTTGAAAATTTGGAGGTGCAGGACATGACAAACGGCTTAATATAGTTGAAGGCCATCTTTTAACCCAACTTTGTGCTCAAGTTATCTTACGATTGAAGTGGAAAGCAAATGATTATTTACGAGTTTTTAGTACCAAATTAAATAGACCAAGTTTGCCGATAAATCCAATTCCGAGAATGTTCGTAAATAAAATATAATATGAGATGAAGCTATTTGCTAAGTTTCAGGCGGTTGTTAATAATATGATAAAAAGGAGTCTGTGCCACAGACTATAAGGTAATATTAGAGTGGGTAGAATATGCCAAAATTTGGGGTATATTATTAGTTGTTTAGTTTAATTTGGAATGTAATACATTTCTATTTGTCCTTTTTCTCAGAAGCCAAATGAATTTGGTACCTGTTTAACTGTGGGTTTTCTGTCTTCCTCTTTATCCTTCTAGATATATTTTTTTGGTGTTTAATCCATTTATGCTCAATCTAAAAATCATTGATACAAGTTTCCTGAAGCACAACTAACCTATGATAATCCAACCTTAGATGGGGTGATGAACTCTCATTTAACATTAGAGCAAGCTTAAGGTTTATAAATCAAAATCTGCTCAAAAGAACTACCAGCTGTTGGAGGAGGCAATGACTAGCCACTTTATTACAGCCATTGCCATTGAACATATACTAGTAATAATAGAACTAACATTAATTTAAATTTGCATTTTTTCATTAAGACTTTATTGTCCACAATGTACAGTCATAGGTAAGTACTGGAGCAGTGGTACAGTTAATTAAAAATATACAGAACATGTGGGCCAATAATGAATCGTTATACAACAACGCCACTTCAGGGAACACCTCAGTAAAGAGTTATTGCATCTGGTGAAGTCACTGACTACTCTAGCACCACCAGGCAGATATGTCACCTACCAGACAGAACATTTCTTCATAGGGTTCATTGGAGATCCAAGGGGGCAGTTATAAACTTTAGAGAAATCTTCACTGTTTGAGAGAGTTCCAATGACCCTATAAACAAAAAAAAAAAAGAAGTAAAATATTAACTAGTATGAAATTTGTAGATGCGTGTACTGAATTAGAAAAAAAAAAAAAAGAAACAGAAATGGTGGTAATGTGATCATATATTCCCTATACTTCCTCACGCCTTTCTTAAGTATGAGCGAAAGTAAGGTTCTTTAATATTTAAAATAGAACTGAACAGTGAAAAATAGGATTGCACTTATTATTCTTAAAATTTAAATATCCACTTTTTTTTTTTAATAATGATGTAGAGATGGTTGACCGTTGATATAATATGAGAAGGAGTAAGTCGAGGGTGCGGTCAAATAAATAATAAATTAAAATATATTAATTATTTTAATTTATGTCGACGTTTCGACCCACTTTGCAGGTCGTCTTCAGGGCGTAGGATGTAGCACTGTGGGAGCAAATTGTATTGAGCATAAATAATAAATTGCTCCCGCAGTGCTACATCCTATGCCCTGAAGACGATCTGCAAAGTGGGTCGAAACATCGGCATAAATTAAAATAATTAATATATTTTAATTTATTATTTATTTGACCGCACTCTCGACTAACTCCTTCTCACTTTATTTATTTATGAGCAAATTGTACAATTTATTATTTATTTGACCGCACCCTCAACTAACTCCTTCTCATTTTTTTTTTAATATATTAGGAAGAGTTATAAATGATCTTGGGTTTTTAAAGTTGCTACAATTTTCATTACATAAAAAAATGTACTTTACGTCTGAACATATTTTTAAATCAATGCACTAAAATGACACAGAGATATTTGTTGAGAAGGATTTTGATAATATATGATAGAGGTAACATCAACCAGAACAAATTGTTCTCAAAGATGAGTCAGGAGCCCGAAACATCAACTAAGGGAGAATAAATAAGTTAATTATCAACGGAAGAGGTACATTCTTAATAACCCAAGAATAACTTAAGTAGTTTTGAAGTTGGTCCAAAATTGATATAAAATAGTAATAATCCATTTATTCAATAAATTGTATTATTTCCTAAACTAAACATTGTAAAAACGAGTTTCTTAATTAATAAATCGAACTGTATCAAGCTGAATTGTTAAATATTGTCAATCAGATAGATTAGTAATCAGTTAGCAACTCAACATGGCTGAGCAGCATGACAATTTTACTGTAATGCTCTCTACAAATATTTTAAATTCTAAATTTTTTAAACTTCAATACAAACAGAAAATATGTTTAATACTGCTTTCATATCAGGAAATGAGCTTAAATCAAGATCTCTAGGTATAACCTTTATCGATTGGTCACCTGTTGTAAACAGCTCATTATTTGATTGTTGCTAAGAAAATGATCAGCTTTTAAATTTGAATTTGACATATTTACTAACCATGTCAAGTATTAGCATAACAACCACAAAACAACATTTGATCTCTTTAACAAAATGATTGTCTGTTGTGAGTACATGTTTCTTTCAGAATATACAAATAGGAAAATACTGAGAACAGATAACAAAAAGGGAAATTATATCTTTAGATGTTTCAATCATTCAAGCTGCTGACTGAACATTTCTGTGATTGTGTAGGCTGTATATAAGAAATAAGACTAATAAAAATTAATTTCCTACTATTTCGTTGAAATCTGTAATCAGAGAAGCAGAGGTGGAACTAGGGAGGGAGAACCAGGCATTTTCCCCAGGCGACTGAATTCAGAGGCAAAATTGTATTTAACTCAAGATTTTTTTTTTTTTTTAATCATAATTCAGCCAATGAAATATGTTACTAATTAAATTAAATATAACAATATTTATTTTGAGAGATATTATGTGGCCTTGGTTTGAAAAGGTTCTAACAAAAGTTGAGCTTTCACTCACAACAAAGTTATCTAGGTTCCAAATGAATCTTAGTGTCATCAGTTAAAAAATAAAGAAAATAGCAGTGTGACATAGTTCTAACTGCAAAACTATGAAGCTGTATTTGATGTACAGTAATTTTAATGAGAGTTAAACATGAAATTATACCATTTATATTATTAGCAAATATCTATTCTATATGTATAACATATTTACATCAATTATTTCATAAACGAAATATGTGACATCTTCATAATTTTTAGAAAAACTGCGAAAATCTATATAATGCAAAAATTTTAGAAGGTAAAAAATCTAAAAACAATATATAGTGTAAACAAACAAATTTTACATAATTTATGTCAGATTTTAGCAATGCATATACCATTAGATGATGAAAAATTTTTACTATGCTGTTGTTTCTGCAAAAAAAATATTTATGTCCTTTTTCTTAAATTATAATATGGGCAAATAATTATATTACTTATGAAATAAATAACCTTTATTTCATTAGACTAAAAAAAGGATAAAATAATTTAATACATAAATTTGTTTAAAAGAAAAAAAAAATTATTTAATTTGGCTTTTCAATTCTTCATTCTCTCTATGAAATATAAAAACCTCAAATTTTAAGGTAGTTTATATTCTTTTTCTTGGCAGATTAATTTAAAAATATATACATTTTAACAAAAAAAAATGGCGTACAGGGAATGATCAATTTTTCTATTATATTCTACATATCCATTAAATGTTAAATCCCGAATTTGAAGAGTTATTGCTATTCCTTTTTTTCTTTATTGTGGTCTTAAGATTTTATGCTAAATCATATTTTGTCAGGAGAGTTCTTCACAAAGGGTTCATCACAAAGATTTATAGTTGAAAATAATAAACAAAACCATGTACCAAAATATCATTCTAACTCAAGTTCTGTATGCTCATTTTGACTTGTAATTAGACCTGTTTTAAAGTTAAAAGTGAATATTTTTTTAAAAGAATTGACATGAAAATGGGTAAACATTGCCAATAAAAATGTAGTCTTGATTTTTACTGTTATATTTAAAACTTCCTACAGACATCACTATTTATACATAAATTTCTATGGAAGTTAAAAATATATAAATATATTTTGAAAAAAAAAAGAAAAAACATTTGATACAAATTTAAATAATAGCAAACAATATTCACAATAACACAAAATTAAATAATTTATTATAAAAATTTAAAATTTTCTATGCATGGTTATGTCAGTAAACAATAAATATACTTTGATATACAATTATTTCTAGCATTCTATACAATATAATTATTGCTATTCACAAAATCAAATAATATTTCATTATAATCACAATTAAAACAAGAAGGCCTGCCACTATTTATGGCGTAAATTAGAATCTTGCATAATCAACAACATAAATTCAAAATTTTTGTGTTAAGTATATACAAAATTAAAAAGAAATAGTAATAATAATTAAGAAGTACTGAATGATAGCATTCATTAAAATAAGAAGAAAAGGAACATACTTCAAAAACAAATTGGAGATTCAGAATACAATTAATCTTTAAGGGATTTAGTAATTAAAAAGAGCTTAACACATATTCGTACACATGATGAAAATTTGCATTTGTAAATTACAGAAAAAAATTGATTCTTGCTTGTTTATTGGGGTTTTAAGGTTAAAATCTCAAGGTCATCAATGCCCGTAAATTACTTTTGTTTATCTATGTCCTAAATTTAATTGATTCTTTTTTCTTTTAATTCAGTGCAAAAAATTTTATTTATTTATACATGTTTTAGGCTCTTCAACCACTTGGGTCATTTTCGCCATATATTACAGTTTGGGTGCAAAAAATTAATGGATGAATATGTGTTAAGATGTCTGCAATAGAAATGAAAGGAAATAATAAAATTGTTTGCATTTCAACGACTAAATAATTTTTTTAACAATTATTGCCAAATATGAGTAACAGTCAAGTGAAGTTGAAGTAACCAATTAATACAATATTGCACTGTTAGTACTGTGTATAATTAATTAATAATAAAATAATAATGAAATGATTATTTTTAAAGATAATATCAGCAAAAATGATTGGCTAAATAGCAAAAACTATTTATTCTGTATTCTTGTAATAACTTAAATTTTTTGTCAATTTCGATTCTTACATAACCACAATAAATAACATAAACTAGAATTCATTAAAATTAAGAAAATACAATTTTTTTTTAATAATGAGATCGATTAATTTGATTTTAAGGTGCACCCATTACTATGCAATTTTCCTAATGTGCTTACCCTAAAGCAAAAATTTAAAAGTATGATGGACAACAACTAAATAGGATATTAGATACAATTTCAAACAACAGTCTTTATATATAATGCCTTTAGAATTAAATTGACGAAAATCACACTTCTATTATACATTTATTTCAAATTTAAAAATAATATGCATTATTTATATGAATTCATTACGAGTTCCACACAAGCAGCATGATTCACTGTAATATATCACTTGAAAAATCCTAATAAAATTTTTACAACTCAATCTGTAACTGCCCAACAGAAAATGTAGAACTCATAACAAATAAACATTGTTAAAAAATTACAAAAATACATGTACAGAAAAAATATAAATCAATGATTCAGATTAAAAAATACTATAAAACATTATTGTATAACATTTTTTAACAGTTATTAATAACATTAATTGATTTTTACATATGATAATTAATTTACATATTAACGTTATCATTGATAGTACACCCTCACTGCTCTTGAACTCCGGCAGTTATTCTATCAGCACATAAGCCTTTAACTTTTTTAGCCAAAGCCAAGCTATATGAAGAGTTCTTCTCCTCATCATCATCAGCAAGAAGTCTCTTTCCCACCCTAAATACATCAGGTTTAGAGACCATATTATTGATGGCTCTAAGATCTTTGGCTGGGCTGCGGCTAAACCTGTAGCTTAAATGAGATGCACTATTAGGAGAATTTTCTCCATTTTTATCCAGCTCAAATGAGCGCAAATATAAACTATGTTTTTCAGATATTCTTCTAGTATTGGGTGGTGTGGTAACTTGTTGGGGTATAGGAGATAAAATTATTCGATCCGTATCCGAAGAACAATTGAACTTTCTGACCAGAGATTTAACTTTGGTTATATAAATAGTATTGTAAAACTTAATAATATCAATTCGTTCTTCCTTTATATCTGTTAAATCTGAGTCCTTTAAATTTTTTATATCTTCAAGAGAAAAATCAGGAGATGATAATACCTCGCGATAAACATCTGATAAAGCTTGAGGCTGATTTCGATAACACTTCATTACATCAGTGAAAGCAAGTTCTATTCCTATAATTTTAGAAATAACATAAATGGAGCACATTAAGAGCTGGTCGAGATGTCTCTCAAACATTAGACCAACATGTTTGACAATTGTTTCTTCAAAACAAGTCCATATTTTTTGCCTTACATCAACCTGCATAAGTTTAAGTTGGTCACATAAATCCAACATTCTGACAGAAGCAAGATAATAAAACTTCCTAAAGAATAATGCAACTGGCCCAGTCCGTCGAGGTCGTTTATTTTCTTTATGAACTGCAGAGTCTGAGAGCTTAGTAACTTCAAAACTATGATCATTAAGATGTAAGAGTTGTTTAGAAATAAGAACAGAAGCAGCTCCATCATTGGGTTCACTCTTCATAATTTTAAATGCAGTTTCACTTTGAATATCATTCATATTTTCACTAGTGAGTACTCTCTTGAAATTTATTCTCTGAGGAGAAGCTTTAAAATTATCAGCTAGAGGTGTACCAGGAGAATTAGTTAAAGCACTATCTTTTCCTGCTAAAACAGTCAGTCTGTCAACATTGAAATCAACAATACCAGATTTCATCGTAGAATCATTATCTGGCATAACATCCTCACTACAAGGAACTCCTTGTCCAGATTCAATTATGGCTTTCCATAAAGGGCTGTTTCTTTTCCAGGCAAGGTTATCTAAAATTTTTTCTTCAATAGTTTTTAGATGCTTAACAACATCTCTACTCAATGAGCTTTCTGCTCTTACAACTACTTCAATTATTTTGTAGAAATAATAATGAGGCAACTTTAAAGCATTTGCAATCCAGGGATACTGTTGTGCACTTGTGCACAGAAATGCAGCAATTTCAAAGGAACAGGCAAATAAGGTCTTAATAAATACTTCTTGATTTAAGAGTGAGTTTGGATCAAAAGCAGGTTTTTTGGTTTCTTCGGGTAATATAGAATCTATTAATTTATAAAATAATTTTATAACTATTTCACATTGTTTTTCAGGGAATTCTTTACCAATAACTTCACCTTCTAGAGCTTGTTTTACTTGAGTAGCAAGTACAATTACATATTCTTCTATAACAGGTCTTTTTTCACAAGAGTCAATAATTTTTCTTAAATCTTCGCTTGGATAAGCTTCTCTGAATCCAACAATAGTCTGTAGTAATGCAAAATTTTGAACTTCACTACGCAAAGGGCAGAAAGTTGTTCGGTCACTATTCCTCAAGTACTGTCGACATGTCAAAGGTGTCATCAAAATACCAGGGCTTTTGTTCTGGGTATTTATTTTCCTTTTAGCTTCTAATTGTTCAGATATTTCACATAATTTATTGCATGTAAGACTTTCAATGGTGCAGGAATTATTAGTGCGACCTAAAAATATTCTTTCATCAAATGTGCCAACGCTCAAAACATATTCTTCATAAACTTTGTTGACTGATTTGAAATTCTGTTCAAAATAATTAGCATCTAATATTTCAGATAACAAGATATTGTTGCCTTTAAGAATTCGCTTTTCAAACAGTAGCTTAATATGCTTTCTCCATGTGTATTCCTTGATGGATTTTGCATCAACAGGCTTCCCATCATGACGAGAACATAGTACATCAAGCACACATGGTACATCGGACAATTTGAGGAACCGACTTTTGAGAGCAAGATTATCAGGAAAATCTTTGTTTATTATGTCTTTTCTCCCACTCATGTAAGCATTGGCATATATAAAATCAAAACAAGCCAACAATAAATGATAAGAAAGAACTAGATCATCACTGATTTTAGGGTAATTTGATTTCACACATATGAATAAGGTCCAGCTAAAATCAAATATTCTTATCAAAGGTATTTGATTATTTTTCTGTTTTTTATTTTTATTCACTTTGGCATTATCAGCATTGTTTTCTGAAAAAATATCCTTGAAAATCGGTTGAAACTTCTTAAACAGGACCATGGAAACAGTGAAATCTCTTTCAAATTGATCGAGGCTTCTCAAAAATTCAACAGATAATTTTGCGAAGTTAGCCCATCGTCTAATATACTTGAAAAAATCAACAATACTCAAATCAATTAATTTTAGAAGCCCTTTCAAATTAACTAAATTACCTTGAATGATGACTGGTGATTTAGATACTGTTGCAACAGTAGCAGTCTTACAAGCAACATATAAGGCACAACCCATCCAATGCTGAGGTTCACCAGCTAACATGTATGGTTCATAAATTTCATTAAAGGATCTCCAAGCTTCTGCAGATGACGTTTTATCTAGGTTAAGAGCTCGACATAATTCATGAAATTGTTTATAAAGTCTTCTTACAGTATCTTCTGGCAGCATTTTGAGAAGTAGGCAACTCTTTTTTAAACTGTGATCATGAAGAATCGAAATATCAGCACTTTGCCAATAGATCGTATAACCAAAGAACTCAAAACATGAAAAAAAATATTTCTCTCGAAAAATCAAAACAAAATCACAAATCGCACAAATATATAAAATCACAAAGAAGTGAACTAGAAAACAACAGTTTTCTACGTAAGAACTAATAAACGATGTAATGATTAAACAATACAACAAACTGAATTTATAATGAAATGATCACAGCAGGATAAGAATTTATAATAATACCACAATAAAATATGAGTAGTAAGTAAATAAGAAGGAAACAAAATAAAAAAAAGTCTTCTGACAGATAAGAACCTACACAATGAACCTTTCTCGTATATACTGCCATTAAAAGGCGCAATGTCAATCTACTATCGATTGTTACGTCAATCGATTGTAAAAATAGGTGTTTATCGTTTTAATTTAATAATTAAAGGTGAATTTGCAGCAATATCCCATAAAAATAAACATAATAAAAGTTTACTTTGAATGAACCGAATAATATTTTAAACACCAACATATATTTTTAAAAAATATATAATAATTGAACCTAACAATCAATTCAGACTCTTCATCAGCAGGCCATATTTGAAAAAAAATTCCCGCCAAAATATATTTGTGAAAAAAAATTCATTAATTAAAGATGGTATTAACGTAAATGTTAATATAATATATACAATTGTATCATATACAATATACAAATAAATTCAATGTAAGCAAAAAACTATCAAAAACAGTAGTAAATTAATTTTATTTTTTGCCTATTTGCAGTAATGTCCAGGGGTGCCCAGAAGGGGGTTTCATGGTGCAAGTTGCACCATCAAAATTTTTGAGGGGGGCATATTTTGACAGGTTTTTAGATTTTTGAGGGGAACAAACTGAAAACATGAAATAGACTGCAGCAAGTGGAATTGTATATGATCTAAGATTTTTCAATTTCTATCATAGCTTGCTTTGTTTAAAAACAAAGGTGACTAATAAAATATCTTGGGGGAAGGAGTTGGGGGGAGGGGGAGTGGGTTCTTGCACCATCGACCTTGGGGGGATGAGCGCCCCTAGTAATGTCATAAAATGAAATTCATGATTTTCAATGATGTGTATTTAAATTTAAATATTGTATTAATTTCGGTGAAACTACAATACAAAACAATAGATTGGCCCTAAAAACTCAGAAATAAATCTATAAAATTTCACAATTTAATAAAGCTCATACCTTTGATATCAACTCAAAAATCCTGTTTTTCGAGTCATGATGTACAGCAAATGAGGGATTTCATACAGCTTAAATTTACTCTTGTTATCAAATATTTTAAAATATATAAATATTCTTTTGTCCAGTTTATTGCTAAAATTTGTAAATATTATTTTCATTCTATGTACTTGTTTTGACACTACGGTTCAAATAGTGGTATATTTATTTAGAACAGCTATACATTAACATATCTTTTTTTATATTGGATTTTAAAATCAATTAGTATTCCCGAGGGTTGAATATGGTTTTGTTTCAAAACTTTTCAATAAAATTAAAATGTAAAAAATGCAAGCTGCTTCATAGTTGTGTTTCTATTCGTTATTAAGTGTTTCATTAGGTTTAATATAATACAAAAGTAAACGAAATGGAATACAAGTAAATACATTCATGAATTTACTGTTCATTCATGTAAATTACTAATAGTTAAAAAATATATGATAATAATTATAAATAGTACATATATGTACTACTTATAAATATGTAATCTTTATTATAATAAATACATACATTCATGGATTTACAGTTCATTCATGGAAATAAATAATAGTTAACAAATATATGATAATATTTATAACAATATAAATTGATCTATATGTTTAATAACAATTAAAGAGATAATAGTTCAATGGAAATAAAATTCAATTATTTCAATATTTTTTATTACAACAGAATATTTAATAGTTAAACACCTATTCTCTATTCCACTTCAAATAAGACAGCTATCTATCTATTTTCATCAAATCATATTGGCCCAATGAATTTAACCTTGAACAATCATACATGCTATTTTGTCATAGAAGCATTCCTACTGGTTGACATGGAGAAGTAAAAATTACTTTTAATGTTATCACATAAGCTTTTAAAGAAATTAGAAAAAAAAATAAATGTATATAAAGAAGTTTGATTTCAGTGAATAATTTTCTAAACTGTATTTGTATATTTATATTTTCCAAGTTCAATTGATAAAAATTATGTATCCAAAAATTCATTTTTACATTGAACATGATTTTTCTAATTGAATTTGTTTCATATAACTATCATTAGTGTGTTATTCTTATAAATGAATACTGTAAAAAAATCCTGCTAAAAATATATTTTATTTCATAAAAAAACAATTAAATATTTAATAATTTGATGCTTATTTTTCTTATTAAACCATCAATTTTTTTTTTTTATCAGCTGAACTTGGAAAATATAAATATATATTTTATTTCTATAAATATATTTATATTTAACAAGTTCAACTGAAAAAAAACAATTTTTGGTGTAGAGATGGTTGACTATGATATGAGAAGGAATTGGTCAGGGGAGGAGAGAAGCGAGAGGGGAGGGGGGGGAATAACTAATAAGTACTATTCTAAATTTATAGTATTTATTTGACCGTACCCCTTACCAACTCTTTCTCAAAAACAATTTTTAATTGTATAAAAATAAACATTACATTGTGAAATATTTAATTTTTTTTTATGAAACAAAATTTTTAAAAAGAGTTTTATTTATAAGAATAACACACTAATAATAGTTATATAAAACAAATTCAATTAGAAAAATCATGTTTAATGTAAAAATGAATGTTTGAATAAATATTTTTAATGATAAGTATATATAATTCAGCAAACAGAAAAACAATATTTCATTGTCATTATAATTTCTAATATTACTAGAATAAGCAATTTCCTATTCTGAAATCAAAATAATTATATATTAATAAATTATAATGAATTTCTAAACAGAGGTGCCCAGAAGGAACTTGCATGGGATAAATTGTGCCATTAAAAGTTTTGAATGGGGCAAACTTTCATATGATTATGAATCGCAGGGAACGATATTTTTACAGAGTTTCAATTAAGAGGAACTTTCAAATCAATTGTAAGATATACCTGTGTTCTCATTCTACTTTTATTTTTGAGAAGAGGAGAGTAATTAAGTTTCCTAGAAGGGAGGGGGATGCGCCATCAACCTTGGGGAGGGAACGGCCTCATCTGGTTCAGAATACTTAAATCTGGATCATTTAAAAATATTTTATTTAATTTCACTTAAGTATCAAAAGAAAAGTAAATAAATGGAAGAATCAGGCTTTAAATTGTTACATGCTGTTGTTATAATTAGGACCACCCTTCCGGACAAAATAGCACAGTCTATAACTCCCTCCCATTTATTTTTCTGAATTATATTGACATATGGATTAAAATTTTATAAAAATAGAACTGACTAGTGCATTATAATAACAAGGGAGTGTTGATTTACTTAAAACATAATCTTATATCAATCATAATCTTGGGCCAGGCCATTATTATAAATAAAATGTATGAGACAATTAAGAATACCTGTATTTGCCTGGTGAATGAACAGCAGTTTTCATTTTGTTCCTGGTCGCAGCAGGCCTCGTGTCTCCACACCAGACCTGAGCAAAATTCAGAAAGAACAGCTGCATTCCTGTGTAGTTGAGACCAGGCAATGTTTCATCGGAATCTCCATTCTTATCCAGCCACTTTTTGTAAGCCTAAGGAGACCATTTCATTGAAATATTACACACAAAGTGTTGAAAATAATTTTTTTTAAACCAGCAAAAGGAACTATTTTGATTTACAGTACAATCTCATTAGTCCCAGGTATGTAAATGTAAATCTGTAATCCAACAAGGTCATGCCATCTAGGAAAAAACATTTTTTTGAGTCATAGTATGTGAGATGGAATTCTTTCCCTCATCACATGTTCATAAATTTGTATCGCTATCGTTAAATAAGTAAGTTATAGTTATCATGTTTCTTAATAAAAAGGTAGTAAGAAAAGAAACCAGGCATAGCATTATTTCAACCTTAATTTCTACTTTAGCACAGTTCAAATAGAACTCTGAATAATCCAGAATATTTGATAATCCAATAGTTTTCAACCTATATTATATTTCTTTCATCATAGAACCTGATCCAAATTACATTCAACCTACCCGTGAAATCCTTCACTCTTAAAATTGTTTCATACCACAATTTAAATCTTCTCTTTTATGAATACCTTCAACCAGACCTTAATTCTCTCCACTGGGACACCATATATTCCTATAACTCCATTTATCCTATGGTATTCACCCTGACCTCAAACCTAAAATCCATATTAGACATACATGCTCCTCTGAAAACTAAAACCTTGTGCCATCCCATTGGCTGACCAGTGAGATAAAGGAAATGATGAAAGGAAGAGATACAGCAAGACGCAAATACTGTCGAACCCGTTTACCTGTGGATTATGCATCTTTCAAGGAACTTCAACCACTTCACTTCAATTTTTTAGTTCTATTGGATATTTAGGAAGCTTATTATTATTATTATATTTTTCAGATTGTCAAGTTATGACTACATTTGATTGTTTTAATTCTTTTTAAAATATAATATTTGAATTTTTTCAAATGTATCTTTTAATGCTAACAATTATGGTTTCTTTATTGCCTTTTTACAGGATAAATTACAATACATACAAATTAATTTCTTTATATTTCTTTTATATACTACGTTAGAATATATGCTAAAGGTTGTTAAAATAATTTTTAAAACATTTTATTCATAGTAGGAATAAAACCTGCCACAGTAATAAAGTGAATTAAAACAATATAATAAACAAAAACCAGTATATTTAATAGTTTATTCTTTGCCCATTTTTATATTTTTCTATTGTTGGTGTTCAATGGAAAGGGAAGATTAAACCTTCGAATAATGTAATTTATTAAATTAGTAAAACAAACAACAAAGGAAATATTAAAACTCACTCTAAAAGATTGTTTGATTCCACCATTATCTGCAATGTTTTCCCCTTGTGTGCTTTCTCCATTAACTTGAATCCCAACTTCGTCAACTACATATTTGCTATACTGATCTGTAACAACAGTAACAGAAAAATATTTTTCAAAATAATTAAAAAATAAAACAAACCAATTTTTTTCTGCTTTATCTCAATTTAGGAAACTGTTAGAATGTTTAATTTGTAATGTGCAACAGTGAAATTTTCATTTTAACTTTTTTCTTTGCATGAAGTATCTATGGCATGGTGAGGACATTTTTTTATTTGACAGTGGTATGGAAAGAAAGTT